CGTGCCAAGCACTGTGCCCACAGAGGAGACGAGCCGCAAACCGCGGAGCGCAGAGATGCGGGGGGCAGGATAAATGGGAGACCGGGCGAACAGCCCGGCCCGTGCCCGCAGGCACCGCCGATGAAGGACGGGAACCAGGCCCAGGCCCCCCAGACGGCAGATAGGGCGAAGTTCTCCGGCCCCGAGAGGTTGGTGCCCACCACGAGCACCGCCTTCACACCGGCCAGCGGTGCGTCTGAGGCCAGACAGGCATGGGATCGTGACCGAGACCTTCGGGGGGCACCGCACCACGAATCGTCTCCAGCCACCAAGCAGAGGCTCTGAGAGCAGTGCCCGAAGGGGGCCGCAAGCCCTGGAGGACCTCAAGAGGGTGCAGGACCGGGATGGAGACAGAAAGTTAATGCCTCGGAAACAGGTCTCCACGGGTTTGCCAGACAGGGCAGCTTCCCACGAGAAATATTAGGATAAACCCTACTGATTGATGAAGAAACTGCCTTATTCGTGAAATTTAAAAAGGGGGAAAAAGAAGCTTGAGCTGAGTCCTGAAGGGAGCCTGTGCCAGGAGCAGCAAGAAGGCCAAGTATAGAAGAAGACCAGAAAGGTTGGAGGGGACCAGGTTGTGAAGGGACCTGAATGCCAAACAGAACTTTACAGCTGATCCTGGAGATCAGTTCAGGCCCTCATCATCTCTCATACAGACTATTGCCATAGTCTTCCAGTGGGACCATCTGACTGTGTGTCTTCCATCTCAAATTTCATTTGGCTCCACCTTCATCTCTGGCCTCCTTTGGAAAGGGGACTGGTAACTTCCAATCAATGAATATTCTCACACCTTTTCATACCCTACAAGTCCCAGGAGGTCATCATCCAATCCCCATCCCTCACTACCTGATTCTTTATTGCCATCCCCCCTCAACCCTCCCATCCCAAAGTTCCAACCAAATTCTGCCTCACCTACCACGTGCCCTCTGGAATGCCTGTTCCATAAACAACATACTTCATCTTAAAACTTCTCCTCTCCCACTCCTTCCCTCTACTAGCTCTTACTGAAACCTGGCTTTCCTCTGAGGACACAGCCTCCCTGACCACCCTTTTAAGAACTCAATGCCCTTTCTCTCATTCTCCTTGGCTCACTGGTCAAGGTGAGGGAATTGGGATATTCCTTGCTCCCCAATGCCACTTCCAGTAAAATCACTCAGTAAAATCTCATTCTTTAAGGTTCTTGCGATTCATCTCTACTACCCAATCAAAATCCCAGCAGCTGTTGTCTACAGATCTCCAGGTGACTGTCCTTCCTCAATGAGTTTGGTACCTGACCCAATTTTTCTTGACTCCCTAACTTCCTAACTTACTTTCATACTAAAGGACTTCAACACACATATTGATTCTGCTGAAAACTAACCACTCAGTTTCTTGACCCTCTCACCTCACTTGATGTCCTCCACCACCCCACCTCAGCCACATGCAAAGACGGTCATAGCTTTGATCTTGCCATTACCCACAAATGCACTACCTCCACATTCAAGAATTCAGAAATAACCTTAGCTGACCATAATTTATTGCCTTTTTGCACCTCTCTCTCTCTCTCTCTCTTCTCTTCTCTTCTCCCTCTCTCTGTCTCCTCTCTCTCTCTCTCTGTCTCTCTCTCTCTCTCTCCCTCCTCTCTCTCTCTCTCTCTGTCTCTTCTCTCTCTCTCTGTCTCTTCTCTGTCTCTCTCTGTTTCTCTGTGTCTCTCTCTCCTTTCTCTTATACCATTCAGTTCTCTTCCAGGCCTTCTCCTCTACACTAGCCCATTTCTTCTCTTCTCCCCATCTTGACCCTTTGGTAACCAGTTCAACTCTATAGTCTCCCTTTCTCTCAAATCACCCTTAGCATTTTGCTGATTGTGCCCAGCCAAGCCTCAGCCATTCACTTTCTTCACTCCTACACTTGCGCTGCTGAATGAAGGAGAAGAAAATAATGAAACCATTCTGACTGGGTCCACTACAGATTTGTATTACACAACCTCTAGGGGGCCCTCACTGCTGCCAGGCAATCCTATTATACCTCCTTCATCGGCTCACTCTCCCATTCGACACAACAGCTCTTCCAAACCTTCTCATTCCTCCTCATACCTCCCATGACTCCCTCTTCTCCCACTTTCTTAGCCAAAATCCTTGTCTCATATTTTTACAGAAGAAATTAGGCCCTTTGCAGTGAATTTCCTCTTCTCCCCTGTTCCCCATCTCGCATCACTCAGGTACCTTCTGCCCCTCTGTCCTCCTTCACCCCTGTCTCACGGAAAGAGATGGCCTTTCTCCCTTACCAAGGCTGAGTCCTCTACCTGCTCCAGTGATCCCATCCATCCCATCTTCTCCAACAGACTGCCCCTTTGTTATCCCCACTTCCTCGCTTATCTTCAGTGTCTCTCTGACTACCGGTTTATTCCCTGCTGCCTTCAAATATGCCCCAGTCTCCCCCATCCTAAAAAAACCTCTCACTTAGGCTCCTTTCTTCCCCACTATCATCCTACCTCTCTTAATGATAGTAATAATAATAGCTAGCATTTATATAGTTCCTACTGTGCGCCAGGCACTGTGCTAAGCACTTTTACAAATGTTTTCTCGTTTGATCCTCCTAACAACCCTGGAAGTTAGGTGCTATTGTTATCCCCATTTTAGAGTTGGGAGACTGAAGCAAACAGGTTAAATGACTTGCCCAAGGTCACACAGCTAATAAGTGTCTGAGGCTGCATTTGAACTCAGGTCTTCCTGACACTAGGTCCAGCTCTATCCACTGCACCACCCCTTCTGCCCTTTGGGGCTGAACTCCTTGAAAAGGCATCTACAATAGGTGTCTCCACTTAACCTGGCTTGTGGCCTTATCATTCCAAAGTCACCAGTGATCTCTTAATTGCCAAACCCAAAGGCCTTTTCTCAATCCTCATTCTCCTCGACCTCTCTTCAGCCTTAGTTATTGGTGATCACTCTCTCCTCCTCAATATCCTCTCTTCTTTCTAGGTTTTCAGGATCCCTCTCCTGGTTCTCCTCCTCCCTCACTGACCACTCCTCCTACGTCCCCTTGGCTGGATACTCCTCCAGGTCACGACCTCTAACCATTGGTATCCCTCAGGGCTCTGTCCTGGGCCCTCTTCTCTTCTCCTTCCAGCGCTTCTTAAACTGTGGGTCTTGACACTGAATGTAGGAGTCTGGAAAAATTTGGCAACAGTAAAAGGTTTCTGAATACACAATGACCAAAAATTAATTCAAAATCAAATGCGTAATGAATCCGAGGTGTTTCTGGCAGTGCTTGCCGGTGTTACATCTCACAACTTCACTGCAGCCTTGATTCTGAACACACAGCATGCCTTCAGGTCATGCAGTGCCAGCAAATGGGGCCACAAACACCTCAGCTCAGATTCTATTGTATGTTATGAATTGCAGTGTTTTTACTGTACATACGAAATCATTAGGATAGAATTTTCAACTATTTCTGAAATGGCCCTAACCATACTTCTGCCATTTTGTACTATGTATTTATGCTATGTGGCATTCTCAGCATTGACGATTATAAAATCAAAATTTCAGTCAACTCTGAAAACCTCTGAAGATGTTCTATATCCTGCAGCATCAGATATTCCTCTGAGATTTAATTCTTTATGTAAAAATAAAGCACATCCATCTCAATAGTATGTAAATTTGTTTTCATCTTTAATAAATGGTAAAATTATGTTATACTGAAGAATTGTTTTAAAATTAATTTCTTTATGATTTATCACCAGTAGATGTTTGATTTGTATACCTATTTTGTATACCTATAAACCCCGGGGTCACCTAAAAATTTCTCAAGTGAAAAGGGGTTGAGAATGGGAAAAGTTTAAGAAGCGCTGTTCTATACTACTTTGCTTGGTGATCTCATCAACTGCCATGGATTCAATTACCATGTTTACGCTAATGATTCTCAGATCTACCTATCCTGCGCCAAGCTCTCTCCAGACGTCTGATTTCACATCTCCAATTGCCTTTCAGACATCTCAAACTGGATGTCCAGTAGATATCTGAAACTCAACAGAATTCATTATGTTTCTCCCTAAACCTTCCCTACCTCCTACCTTTCCTATTACTGTAGAGGGCACTCCCATTCTCCCAGTCCCTCAGGCTCAAAACCTAGGACATCCTGGATATCTCTCTCTCTCTCTCTCTCTCTCTCTCTCTCTCTCTCTCACCTCCCATATCCAATATGGTGCCAAGGCCTGTTGATTTTACCTCTACAGCATGTCCGGAATATGCCCCCTTCTCTCTTCTGGCCCTGACCCCACCCTGGTAGGTAGGTACCCTACCTCATCACCTCACACCTTGATTATTGCAGTATCTGTTGTGGGGGTGGGTTGGGAGGAGATCTGCCTGCCTCCAGTCTCTCCCCACTCCATCCTTCATTCAGCCACCACCCAGTGACTCCCTGTGGCCTTCAAGTTCAAAAGCAAAATCCTCTATTTGACATTCAAGCCCAGTCCCTCCTTGCCCAGACTTTCTAGTCTTCTTGCACCTCACTCCCCGACACACCCTCTAGGATCTAGTGACTCCAGCCTTCTGGATGTTCCTCAGACAAGACCGTCCATCTCTTGGCTGTCCCTCATGCCTGGGGGACTCTCCCTCCTCATCTGCACTCACTGCCTTCTTTGCTTCAAGTCCCAAATAAAATTCCATCTTCTACAGGAAGCCTTTTCCAACCTCTCTCAAGTCTACTGCCTTCCCTTTCTTACTTATCTCCTATTTATCCTGTATGTAGTCTGTTTGCTTGTTGTCTCTTCCATTAGATTGTCAGCTCCTTGAGGGCCGGGACTGTCTTTTGCCTCTTTTTGTATCCCCAGGGCTTAGCACAATGCCTGGCACATAGTAGGTGATTAAGGATGGATTCTAACTGGTCTCCCTGCCTCTCCTCTCCCCAGTCCAATCCACCCCCACAAAACTACCAAAGTGATTTCCCACTGGCTCCCTGTTACTGCTAGGATCAGATATAAATCCTTCTGTTGGGCATCTGGAGGCCTTCGTAACCTGGCCCTTCCTGTCTTTCTAGGCTTTTCACACAATTCTGCTCTACACGCTCCATTTCGGTGATTCTCCCCTCCTGCTGGAAATGTCTTCCTTCTTCATCTCTCTTTCTCTCTCTCAGCTCAACTTCACTCCCTACTCCACAACCTCATCAATTGCCTTGAACTGACCACATGTCCTCTTCCATCCATCACCCATGGCCCTCGTCATCATCCCAGTAATTTTCATTGTCATCATCACCTTTGTCGAGTGCTTTAAGGTTTGGTTACAAAGTGCTTTAAGAATATTGTCTCATTTTATCCCCACAGTACTCCAGATGAGGAAACCGAGGCAGGCAGCAGTGAAGTGACCTGTCCAGGGTCACACAGCTAGGCTGAAGTCAGATTTGAACTTAGGTCTTCCTGTCTCCAGGTCTAGTTTGTGATCAACTGCACCACCAGCTGCCTCACTTTCCTCACCAAAGTGCCCCTCCATGGCTGCCGCTGCACTCATTAGACTCCCACCCAAAACGATCCAGCATTCTTTTGGCATATAGTTGGTATCTAGCAGGAGCCATCCTGTGAAGTTGAGCTGAGCTCCTCTAATCTTCAGGACCCTGGGCTGTGGCCCAGACTGAAGGACATGGTGAAGCAATCGCCTTACTGACCGCTGACCAGGCAGAGCCTTCCACTGAGTAGCCTTTAAAAGGAGAAAGGACTTCCGCTCATCTTTGCCCCCTCCCCAGCAGCTGCTCACACATGGTGTACACACAAGCGCGGCCTTAGCCGGCCTGGGCCTGGGCCTCAGGCCCGTGGCTGTCTGTTCTGCTGAGGTTTCTGTCCCCAAGAATAGGGGATTGATGGACCAGCAATTCTGAGATGATCACCTTCAGCCTAGTGAGTTCCCCTGGTTGGGAGGTCCTGGCTCCCTCGTTGAGAGCAGACTGGCAGCAAGAGATGTCTTCTGCCACCACAGCCTTTCCCGAGAAGACTTCCATGAAGGGAGGATGAACCCGAGCCCTGCACTGGCTGGCCCAGCTCCAGGGTGATATAGGTCACTCATTCTCTCCTGACCCTTTGTCAATGTGAGCTTGAGTCTTTTGTATTTAAGCATCTCTTTTGTATGGAGGGAAAAAAATAGCTGTCCTATCTATATTGTACATTGCATGCTTGTCTACTCCTTTTTCGGACATCCCCAGATGTGTGCCAGAACTAAGCTATAAGTGGTTTTCCCTGGGGGTCTGGGTTAGGGACATATAGAGCCAGAAATAAGCCAGTGCTTAGCACAGTACCTGAACATAGTAGGTGCTTAATAAGTGCTTGTTGACTGGCTTATTAAATGCCCGTTGGCTGAGATAATGGGAAAGACGGCAACCCAGCCTCTTTAGAGGCCAACCTCCTAGGCCCAGTGACTGCACAGGCCACAGGTTGGCACCCCATGATGGGTGGGGCTAAGTCTCCCTGGGTCAGCACCAGTCTACGGTTATGTTTATATTCTTCTTCTCTATGTCGCTCCCATTTGAATGGACGCTCTCTGAAGGCAGTAACTCAGGCTTTCCCACTCCCAAACCACCGTTCATTCCAATAAGGGAAATGCTCTAAGTCACCCATGTCCCAATCTGGAGGACAGGACCAGACAAGGCCAATCCGCCAGCAGCACCCTGCCCCTGAACCTAAGCACTCATGGAAGATACTCCTTCCTTCCCAAAGAACCAGACTGGGTCTTGGCTGAGTGCCCAGGACTATTTATTCCAGAATTTCAGGCAAGAAGCTGAAGGTATGGGTGAGGGCAGGGGAGGCTTTGCAGGGTCACGGGATTGGGGGCATCTCAGGGGCCATGACCGACTGGGCGAGATGGGAGGGGCCGCTGTGATCCTCGCTGCAGGGCCCTCGTCGGATGGAAGGCTCACTTCCAGCGGCCACCAACACGGCCCTTGCCGGCCCCCTTCCTGCTGCTCAGGGAGATGGATGGGAGTTAGACCCATGGATAGATGAGGTCCCAGGAAGCCCACCTCCCAAGCTCTGCAAGACCAGCCTCACAACCCCCAGAGCAGTGGTTCATGGGCGCTCCAGGACTGCTGATATTTGTGGTGTTAAGTGAATCGACATGAGCCATCACCATGTATAGTGTGGTACGGTCCTCTGGGGCCTTTTTCTTGCTTAGTTATCATCATAACATGGTCAATGGATTTGGTGGTGTTTGAGTCCTATTTGTGAGCAAGGGGAGGTAAGGATCTAGAATGGCATATAGGATGGGGTGGGGAGGAAGAAAAGGAAGGAGGGGAAAGGGAAAATTGAAGTGTGGAGTGACATAGAGCCATGGAAAGAGAGAGAGATTCAGGGAGAAACAGATGGGGAGACTGAGTGTAAGGCAGACGTGCCAAGGAAGACAGATAATGGGGAGGACTGATAGACTTGGCCTGAGACAAAGACAGAGACAGGGACAGAGAGAGAAAGGTGGGGGAGAGAGAGGTGGCAGACAGAAGAAATGAGAAAGAGGCAGGGGGAGAGGGAAGAAGAGGAGGAGAGAGACAGAGAGAGAGAGAGAGACAAAGAGAGAGAGAGAGAGAGATGGAAAAGCCCCAAATGAGAAGGTTGAGGTGCCAAAATCACATCTATGCACAGCCTCTCAGAGCAGGCAGGGTTCATCCATGCTTGAGCGAGGAGCTACCCCCCCCCCCAACAAGTTTGACAAGCAGCCATCTCACCTCTGCTCGAAAATCCGAGGAGGGGAAGCCTGCTGCTTCTCAGAGTAAACAGCCTGTTCCACACCGGGACTCCTCCCATCATTAAAAGGCTCTTCCCAACCTCCAAACTAAATGGAACCTCCCCTCCCCCTCTCCCAGGTCCTGGTTCTGCCCCATGGGCCCAAAAAGCACAAGGTCACTCCCTCTCCTATTGGTAGTCCTTCAGACAGGAGAAGACAGCCACCATATCCTAGCCCCACCCCCAGTCTTCTCTTTTCTGCCCTAAATGTCCCCGATTCCTCCAACTGTCCTGGGCAGAGGACAGGAGCCATCTTGTTTGCCTTTCCCAGGCTGGCTGCTCCCCAGCCCGTGTCCATGCTAGCCTGCAGGGCCCAGAACTTATCAGGCCCATCCCAGAGTGGCCTGACCCTGGCGCCCTTTTACCCACCCCCTCCATGGCCAGGTCGCTCTCTTCCCTGGCAGCCGTGGTTCTCGGTCATTCCTTGGTTCTGGGCACATATGTCTCTTAATGCATTTCAACTGAATTTCCTTTTTTTTGCCTCTACGCTACATTGTTGCCTCTTACTGAGCTTGAGGTCCACTAACACCCCCAAATCTTTCTCATATCAATGACTATCCATGCCTCCCCTAACATGTATTTGTCAAGGGTTTTGATTTTGTTCACCCTATGCATAAAATACTGACTCAGATTCTGCAGCAAATGAGTGATCTCACATGCTTTCAGTGGTGCACAGGTCTCCCACACCTTCTCATCCTATGTGACTCATCTCGACTCTGCTCTATGCCACCCCCCAGGGGCCTTGGGGTCCCAGCAGGGCACACGAACAGCCCTCGCTCCCCCTCCGCCCCCAGACCACTTTCTTCTCCCAGAGCTACGTCTCTATGGTGTCATCCTTCAGCCCAACCTCGATGTTCAAGCCTTCATCAGCGTTGTGGTGTGGCCCACTGCAGCCAACCGAACCCTCCTCTACTGCCCTTTGGGGATCTGTCACCTTCAGCTCACTGGACACTGGAGGATTCCATGGCTCTCAACCAGAAAGCCCAAGGGCTTTGGAGCTGGTCACAAAGTCCACCCCACCTCCTCATCTTACTAACTGAGTGAGCTGAGGCCCAGAATTGAACCACCCGCGGTCACCCAGCTAGGAAGTATATGATGTCACATCTGAAGCCATATTTTCTTCTTGACCTACTACATCACTACTTCTGCATGACCAAAAGAATGCTCTGCCTAAAGTGATGGGCCTTGATTTCAGAGAGCAGCCTGGGATCCTTGGGAGCCCTGCCTAAGGTCCCAAAGGCTGTATGTAGCCTGTGCCCCACATTCCATGCAGTTCACGGTCGACCCAATGTGTGTGTGTGTGGTGTGGGTGGTTTGCCCTTTGCTTTCGAAGAGGACCATGACATCAGGAAGGTGATACCATGACTTGCAAGTGAATTGGATTACAGTGAGGCAGGGCTGTGCAAGGTCACCAGCCTCACCTTCTCCTCCAGAGCTGTCAGGGTCCAGTGCCCAGATATCGATCAAGATGACTAGAGGCAGCCCAGCAGTTGACCCAGTATGGATGCACTGGAAGATCAGCCCTCTGGGTTGGCCATCCAGCTGCTTGTCAGTCTGTACAACGCATACTTTTCATGCCCTCAGCTAACCCCCTGTGAGGGTTATCTGTGTGACCTTAAGCAAGTAACTTCTCTCCTTGGAGGGCTGTTCCTCATGTGTAAAACAATGACCTTGAACTCAATGACCTCTGAGGCACCTTCCAACTTGGCATCTATGACCCCATGACCCCACCATCATGGATCAAAGTGTAAGATATTTCTTCCCATGATTTTGAGATCTTCTGGATTCTGCCATCCAATATGGCAGCTATACTGGCCAGCCTTGTGTCATCTGCAGATTCGAGAAGGATGCCATCTAGGCTTTTATCCCAGTGACTGTGGGAAAGGTTATGTACACAAGGCAAAGTAAGCAAGGATCCCCTGCTGGGACTTTTCTCTCTCCCTCTCCTCCTCTTCTTCCCTCTCCCCCTGCCTCTTTCTCATTTCTTCTCTCTGCCACCTCTCTCTCCCCCACCTTTCTCTCTCTGTCCCTGTCTCTGTCTCTGTCTCAGGCCAAGTCCATCAATCCTCCTCATTATCTGTCTTCCTTGGTACATCTGCCTTACACTCAGTCTCCCCATCTGTTTCTCCCTGAATCTCTCTCTCTCTTTTTCCATGGCTCTATGTCACTCCACACTTCAATTTTCCCTTTCCCCTCCTTCCTTTTCTTCCTCCCCACCCCATCCTATATGCCATTCTAGATCCTTGCCTCCCCTTGCTCACAAATAGGACTCAAAATGAGCTTTAATAGTGAGCTGGAGGTGACAGATCCCCAAAGGGCAGTAGAGGAGGGTTCGGTTGGCTGCAGTGGGCCACACCACAACGCTGATGAAGGCTTGAACATCGAGGTTGGGCTGAAGGATGACACCAGAGGGACTTAGCTCTGGGAGAAGAAAGTGGTCTGGGGGGGGAGGGGGAGCGAGGGCTGTTCGTGTGCCCTGCTGGGACCCCAAGGCCCCTGGGGAGTGGCATAGAGCAGAGTTGAGATGAGTCACATAGGATGAGAAGGTGTGGGAGACCTGTGCACCACTGAAATATGGCTTCCAATGTGACATTATCCCCACTGGAGACTTCTTTCAAAGATGACACAGAGACATTACTGACTATTCTTTGATCTGGCCCCTCAACCAGTTCTGATGTCTCTACTTTCTAGCCTCCATCTCCCCATCTCTTCCATTAGAAGAGCTCGGGACAGCATTCCCCTGATCTGCCAGGCTTGTAGTCCTGTCAAAAAAGGGAATGAGGTTAGTTTGGCATGACCAGCCTTGCTGGATTCTCTGAGATCACAGCCTCCTTTTCTAGATGTCCACTCACCATCCCTTTAATAGTAAGTCCTAGGATTCTGATCAAAGTTGAAATGAAGCTCATTGGTTGAGGAAGAAGAGAGAAGGAAACACAAGTACAGAGAGCTACAGACTCAGAAGGACAGAAACTGGAGCAAAAGGGATGAGAGAGAGAGAGAAGAAGAAGAAGAAGAAGAAGAAGAAAAAGAAGAAGAAGAAGAAGAAGAAGAAGAAGAAGAAGAAGAAGAAGAAGAAGAAGAAGAAGAGGAAGAAGAAGAAGAAGAAGAAGAAGAAGGAGAAGGAGAAGAAGGAGAAGGAGGAGAAGAAGAAGAAGAAGAAGAGGAAGAGGAAGAAGAAGGGAAAGAGGAAGAAGAAGAAGAAGAAGAGAGGGAGGGAGGGAGGCAGAGACATGGAGAGAGAAACAACAGAATGTGGGGGATGGCTCAGGTATTGGAAGAAGGAGGTGGTCGGGGGCTTATGGACCAGAACAGGGGAGAGGGAGGGGCTGAGGCCGACTTACAACTTCTGGGCGTGGCTGATTCGGTTGTAGAGAACATTGATCTGGGGATGGAGAAGGACAGAGAGGTCAGTTCAGAGGAATAAATGATGAGCACCCCATCCCACCTCCCTCAGGCTCGCCCTGCCCTCACCTCATATTTCTGCTGCCGAAGTTTCTCTGTGAGGTCAAACTTCTCCGACTCCAGCTGGTGAATCCAGTCGGACAGCTCACGGGCCTTCTCCCTGCACGAGGGGGGCCGACGACCATGGGTCCCACGGACCCCTACCCACTCGCAAACACCCCTCCCGATCCAAGCCCGCAGGCTCCCCTCTCCCAGCCCCCGAGCCCCAGGCGCAGTGCGCCCCTAGTCCTGGCGCGATCTCCATAACTTCTGCCCGGGATCTGCCACGACCGCTGACCTTCCCTCCCTCCCCTCTGGCCTTTCTATCCCCCAGGGTCTCTCCTTTTCTGTCTCGGCCAGTTTCTGCACAAATCCGCTCTAGCTGGCTCTTCATGTCTGCTCATCTCTCTGTCTCCACCTCCCTGTGCTTCTGCCTCTTTGGCAAAGTGATTCTCTTAAAGCCAAGATGCGCCCACGTCGGCCCCTACTCAGCGGCCCCCTATTGCCTCCAGGACGAAACAGAGCCTCTGCTTGGCGTTCCCAGGCCTCCTCCACCCGACACCGCCCCGAACTCCAGACCAGCCTGGGAGCTTAGGGCTCCCAGGGTCTCCGTCTGACAGCTGAAGACACGAGGCTCGGAAAGGTTGGGCAATGTACCCAGCGGAGCGTTAGCGAAACTGGCGTGCCTCGGGCGCCCCCTGGTGGCGCCGCGGCGTCATTCCTCTGCATTTGTTTACGTGCCTAGTCAACCACGTCTGGTCCAGTTAGAGCATCAGCCCCTTCTGAAGAGGGGTGTTTCGTTTTTTGTATTCCTTTCCTGCCCAGTGCCTGGCACAGAGCAGATGCTTGTCGACTGACTGACCTCAGTTTCCCCAAGCCCCTCGATTTCCATTTCTGTCTCTAAATCTGACTCTTCTTCTCTCATCATTTTCTCCATGTTTCCATATCCCTTTCCCTTTATGTCTCTCTGCACCTCCTCACCCCTGTCTCTGTGTCTCAGAACTTCTGTGTGTGTTTGTCTCTCTGTCTCTCTCCTGTTCCTCCCTCTCTCCCTTCCTCCCCTCCATTTCTACCCCCACCTGAGCTGTTCCTCCCCCATGTGGTCGATATTCAGGGGTTTCTTCCGCTCGGACAGAATCCTCTGTTTCATCTCCCGCCCTGTCTGGCGTTTCCCACGCTTCTGCTCAGCCTGTTGGGGAGGGATGATAACTGAGGATCCCCGCGCCCTGATCCCCAGCCCTGAGCCCCCACCTCCTTAGAGGTCCAGCCAGCCTCACCTTGACCAGGTAGCCCCCAAAGTGGGCCCCCATATTGGAGAGGACCTTCTTTTTTTTGGCATCGTCTTCAGCCCGCTTCTTGGCCTCTTCTTCTTCCTTCCTCATCTTCTCCTCCTGGGGGGGGGGGGGGGTAGACGTTGCAGAAAGAGATCGCACCAATTCCAGGGGGGAGGTGGGGGGGGGGGGGGGGGGGGGGGTGGGCGGGGCTGGGGAGAGGTTGGGGTGGGGGGTGGGGAGGGGGAAAACCTGTCTTGGGTATTCCTGAGATTTTTCACAGACTCTTCGAGGTCACTCTGGGTCTGGGGTCCCAGCTGGGGTTTGCAGCTTGCCCTATAGCTGCCCCTCCTCTGGGTGCTGTCTCCCCTATCAGAATGTAAACTCCTGGGGGCATGCACTGGTGAGACTTTGTTTTCGTATCCTCAGGGCTTAGCCCAGGGCTTGGTACAGACTGAGCACCTTCTGTCCCATTCATTCATAAAGAAACTGAGGCCCAGAGAGGCTCACTCCAGGCCTGAACCTGTAAGCTTCGCCTGAGTAGCAGACTTTGTAAATAAATGACCTCTGGGCAAAGTCATAGCTCAAGGAATAAAACAACAGGAAGGACCCTTAGAGAGAGATGAGGGAACCTGGGCTCAGGGAGGGCCAGGGCCAGGGCCCAAGGGCACACACAGCAGAAAACAAGAGGTCCCAGAGGGGGTCGGGGAGGGGGAGAGGAGCCTCACCGCCAGTTTGGCTTGGCGCTCTCTCTCCTTCTCAGTCCGGAACCGCTGCTGCTCTGCTCTCTCTGCTCTTCGACGTTCCTGGAGGGAAGGGAGAGTGAGACTAGAGGACGGCCCCACAGTGGTCCTCCCCAGCTCCCCCACTTCCCCATGACACCTCACAACTCCTAGGAGAGTCAGGAAGTAAAACTGAGAGGATGGAAAGGACATCAGAAACTCTGATTTCTAGCTCTGACCCAGATTCATATGATCTTAGGGACATCCCTTCCTCTATCTCTTGGGGTCTCCATTCCCCCTCCTAATAATAATATATTAGAACAATATTTCCATAGTACTTTAAGGTTGTCAAAGCACTTTACAATTATTATCTCAATGGATCCCAATAAAACAATCCCTGGAGGGAGGTGCTATTGTTATCCCCATTTTACAAATGAGAAAACTGAGGCAGACAGAGGTGAGGTGACTTACTTAACATTATAGAGCCAGTAAGTGTCTAAGCCACCTAGGTGCTTCTAAATAAGGAATGCATTCAATGCGCTCTAGAAGTTCCAGCTTACACAGTGACCTTGGCCTCTGCACAAAGTCACAGCACCTCTCCGGGCCTCGGTGGAGCCCATGATCTCTGAGGTCCCAGGAGCTCCAAGCTCTATGTCTATGACAATCACAGGGCTGGAGGTAGAATCACAGACCTGGGCCTGGGCCAAGCTACTCAGAAGTGCTCGGGGCCTGGTGTGAGCTTGGGCAGGTCCCTTCCTGGCCCATGAGGCTGGTGACTGTCCCCATGGAGGGGGCACCCAACACTCACTATCCGATCCTTCAACCCCACGAGCTCCTCCTCCTCCTTCTTCCTCTGCTCAAAGTGCACGTCGATGAGTGTCTGCAGCTCCAACAGGTCCTTCTCCATGCGTTTTCGGTGGATGTCCTAGGGGTGGCATTTGGGGCCAAGGAGCTTGGAGGGGGCCTTGTTTCTGAGGTCATTACAGCAGGTCTTTTAGCACTGCCTCTAAGGCTTCCCACCATTCCAACCCAGCAGCCACTTAGAAGTTTCGAATGTGCAGTCTCCAGGTGGCCTCTGGGAGACCAGGCTCAGTGCCTGGATTTCCTACTTCGAGGCTTAGGGCTTCAAGGGGCAGGCTTCCGGGGTGAAAGGGCTGGTGCTGACCAGCACCTGCTTGAGATCCCTCCCCCCAGCAGAGTAGGCGAGAAGCTCAGACTTAGACTGGGTGGTGCAAACTTAAAGCCAGCACCTGCAGAGAGGCAGGGGAAGCCCCTAGAGCCATGCGTCCCCTCCCTTCACTCACATCGAAATCAACTCTCTCTCCCTCGGGGATCTTTGGCGGGATCAGTGGAGGCACCACAGGTCTGCTGGGATAGGGGAGAGAAATACAGCTGGGGTTGGAGGATGCCTCAAAATTGGTGCTCCCTTCTCCACTCTTCCACCAAACCTCGGGCAGATAAGTGACAGAGCCGTATCACAAGGCTCTGTCCACCTTTGGTGTCCTTAGGAGAGTGAGCCCCTGAGGGCCACTTGAAACCTCCCTTGAGACCACTTGAGGAAGGACTAAATGGGGGGTTTCAGAGGAAGGTTCACTATATTAACGGTCACGTCCCATATTCTTTCCTGGGCCTCATTTTCCCTCTATCTACAATGCAATAATTAACCAGACATTTCTTAAGCACTAATCCTATGTTCATTGCGTCAAGGTTCTCTGTGTGACTTCGGGCAAAAGCCTTTTTCTCTTCCTGAGACCCACGTCTCCCATCTGTGAGATGGGAGAGAATTAGTCACAAAGACCCTTCAATGCCTTTCCATTCTTGGTATTCTTCAAGGTTTGGGGAGTCTCTCTGGGTGCCCAAGCACTCTGCCATTCACACTTAGGACAGACACTCACCTGGGTTTGGGTCGCTCCTCTTCTGTAAGGAGGGAGTTGAAGACAGAAAAAGATAATTAGAGAGGAGAAATTGGATTGGGAGACTAATGCCTCCCTTGATCCTAGGCCCCAGGAGGCTTGGGAAGGGTCCAGGTTTCTGGGTACCGATTCTTCTTGCCCTCGGGGAGGAGGGTAAAAGGGGTAGGGGAGCAGAGCTGGGATCACACAGCGAACATATACATTCACAACTTGTTGGGGGGAGGGGTTCCCCACCCCTCCAGGGGACCATGTTTCCTGTCTCCCAGGCCCTTCCTGCTCAGGGACCCAGATATCCCCTCTGAAACCCATTCTTCAAGGACCCATTAGTCCTAGCCCCCATGCCCTCAGGGACCCAGGTGCCCCATTAGGAATTCAGATATCTCCCAGTCTCCACTTACCCGCCAGCACTTCAGGTATCTAGGGTCTCCCAGCCTCCAACTTTCTTAGGGACTCAAGTCCCCTCCCACCTATCACCCGACCCCAAACCTTTGAATGTATATCGAGGAAAGAAGAGGACAGGTGTGGGAAAGGGAGGAGTGGGTGCGGCCCCTTTAAGGGGGGGCATGGTTATTGCTTAGAGGGCGCCTAAGGGGCGCTTAAAGGGGCCGCGGCCTGGATGGGATTTCCCCCCCCACCCCGGTTCCCGGAGACGGAAGCGAAGCGACCACCATACCTCGCTCTGCGACCGGCTCCGACTCCTCGGGGGCTGGGGTAGGGGAGAGGGAGAAGCAAGGAATTGGGGAAGGGGGGAACGGCCCCGCCAGCGGTGCAGGGGGAGGGAGAGAGAGGAGAAGCTGTTAATGGGGAGAATTCGGTGCCAAGGGGAGCAGTCCCACCCCTGTGTGACCTTGGCAGCCCTTTCGCTTTCTGGGCTCCGGAATCCTCGCTGCCACCACCCAGCCCCCAGCTGTAAACTAGGCATCCTTGAACTCAAGGATCTCTAAGCGCCTTTCGGCCTTTGGGCTTCACGCAGCAACAAAAATCTGGGTTCCAGTCACCACCCCTAATTCAGAGACCCAAGCATCCCTCTTCCCCCGTCCCGTTGAGCTCACCTTCCTCCTCCTCCTCGGCGGCCTCCTCTTCTGAGGGCAGGGGGCAGACAGGGTAGAGAAAAAGAAAAAGGATTGTCTTTGGGAGGGGAAGGTGGACAGCGTCGTGGTGCTGAAAGAGTTAACGCGCTTCCTTCTCTCGGCTCTTAAGACCCTCTCCCCTGACCTTAAGCCCTATGGGCGCCTCGGGCGCCTTCAGTGCTATTCTTGAGTTCAGGGACATCGCAGAGTACAGGACCCAGGTGTCCAAGCCCCAGTGGTCACACCCTCAGGACCCAGGGGTCCTGATCTTCTGTTCCCTCTGGACCCCAAGTACCTCGACTCACCTTCCTGCTGTTCCCTGCAGATTGGGACAGGAGAGAGGAAGAGGTTAGATCAAGACATCAAGATGGAGCCTTTCCCCATCCCCTTACTCTCTGCCAGCTGCCCCCACACACACACACACACTTACTCCTCATATTCCTGCTCCTCTGTGTCTGACATTGTTGGAGTAACCTGGAGAGAGTAAGAAGAGATGAGAGGACCAGAACCTTTGTGTCCCTGAGGGATGGGAGCTGGGGATCTCTGGGGCCACTAAAGGGATGGAGTGGGGCGAGGGTGGCAGCGCTAGAGGCCCCTCCCCCACCATCCCCACCACCTGTCCTTTGGTCTCGGGACACTGGGGGATGGGAAGGAACCTGATCGGGGAGATTATCTCTAGGCATTCTTGGGACAGACAATAGCCACCCCCAGTTCCCTCTCCTAGCCTGTCAGAAGCTATTTCTGGGGGTCTCGGGCCAGGGCCAAGGCCAGGGATATGTCCGAATAAGGATAGAGTTGCCCATAGGCCCTGACTCAGAACTGTGCCCTTGTGTCCCCTCACCTAACCCCTGACCTTAAGACTATTCTTTCAGACCAACCACCAGCCCACCCCAGTCTCATATTCTTAGGAGTTGAATGAATTTTGGCTTCCTCTACTCCAGTTTTACAGATAGAGAAACTGAGTCCTAGAGAGGCAATGGAATTTTTCAAGGTCATAGTCAAGTCAATAGTACTAAAAAAGAAGGTTCCTAGCAATTAGTCTTTCCCCCCCCACCCCACCCTCTCACCCCCACCCATTCCTCTTGGAATGGGCAGATCAGTAGGTTTCCTCTTAACACATACACAAACCCCAAGGCTTACTGTAAATTGTTTCATCTGATTCCCTGTCTCTCACTGTTTATGTCTGTGTCTGTCCCTGTTTATGGCTGTCTGCAACTGTCTATGACCGTCTAGCTCTGTCTGTCACTCTGTCTCTGTCTCTGTCTCTGACTCTGTCTCTGTGTCTGGCTCTCTTCCTCAAGCTCCCCCAACTCTCTCCCCATCTCTCTCCCTTTCTCTACTCTGTCTCCCACAACAGAATGTCAGAGCTGGAAGGGACCTCTGAGGCCAATTACTCCAACCTATACCTAAACAAGAATAAAGAATTGCATCTGGGATATCCCAAACCATCGATTATTCAGCCTGAAGCTCATCTAGCACAAGGAACTCGCTCCCCTGCCCCAACCCTTCAATCCTTTCCATTTGGGGACAGCTCTAATTATGAAGACATTCCCCTTTGATTGAGCAGGAATCTGCCCGATGCAACGTCTCTGCCTTTCCCTTTCTTTGTGTGTGTCTCTCTCTGGGTCTCAGCCTGCCTTTCTTTCTCTCTATCTGCATAGATCTCCCAGCACAGTGGCTGGCTTGGGTAAGGAGGTCAGCAATAGTGGCATGGGGCATGGGAAGGCTTCATTACCTGGGGCTGAGGCTTCCGTAAAGCACAAGGGTTTGATTGAGGCTGGAACAGTTGCTGTGAGTCAGGGACACAGAAGCTTTATAGCCCTAGCCTGGCGGAGGGGGGAAGCCTCCAAAGATATCCCGGGGTCTCTGAGGCAGAGCCAGTTATGGGCTCCTCCTCCTCCTCCTCCTCCCTTCAACTTTGGCGTCACCCTTGCTCCATTTCTGACTCCCTTTCTGTCTGTCTCCCCTCCTGTCTGTCTTCTGCCTGGACCCTTTCTGTCTTTTTGTTGTGTGTCTTTCTAGTCTTCATCTGTGATGGGGGAGGAGGGGAGGATTTACCCCTCTTCTATTGTTTTCAGACTCCTTTCCTTTTTTCCCCTGTATTTCTTTCTTTGGGTTTCTCGGTCTCTTTGTGTCTCCAAAGATCCCAGACTCTTCCTTCCTTTCTTTCTTCCTTTCCTTCCTTCTTCCCTCCTTCCTCTTTTTCTTTCTTTCTTACTTTCTCTTTCTCTCCTTCCTTGGTTTCCTTCTCTCCAGTCACACATCCCCACAGGCCCATTTCCCACCTCAATCCATCCTCTACTCAGCTAACAAAGTCAATTGTCTAAAGTGCAAGTATCTCCTCTCTGTCTCTCTTACTCTGTCTGTCTCCTCTCCCCTCTAGTGGCTCCCCATCACCTTCAGGATCAAATATAAAACAATCCTGTTTGTCTTTTAAAGACATTCATTGACACCCTTTGTCTCCCCCCCTCCACACACACACACCCCTTTCCAATCTTCTTACATTTTACTCCCCTTTATATATGATATGATCCAAAGAAAATGACCTTCTTACCGTTCCTCAGACAGAACATTTGATTCCCCAGCTCCATGCTTTTACCCTAGCTGTCCCCCATGCCTGGAATGCTGGCCCTCCTCAACTCCAGTTCCTAGTCTCCCCAGCTTCCTTCAAGCATCCACTGCAATCCCACCTGGTGCAGGAAGCCCTCATGTCCCCTCCCCAACTGCTGGTGCTTTCCCTCCATTGATGTTGCATATGACTTGTGTGTACCTAGTGGTGTGCCTGTTGTCTCATCCATGAGACTGTAAGCTCCTGGGGGAAACCCACTGCATTTTGCCTTTTGATTTTATCCCCATTGATTAGCACCGGCCTGGCACAAAGTAATTGCTTAAAAACACTTCTTGGCTGACCCATCCATATCTGCACTCTCCCCCCGATCTGTTTCTCTCTCTTCTGTCGTTCATACCTGGTCTCCTTCTGCCTCTGTGTCTCTTTCTCCCTCTGTCTCTCTTCTTTCTTTCAGTCTATTTCCTTCTCTTTTCTGTGGTTCCCAAATTTCTTTGTCTCATAAACTTTTAAAAGTTGAATGAGCCCTCCGTGATTGCTCTCCTATAAACTCAGCAATTCGTCATTCAGTCTCTACTGGAAGCCAAGGAGGAAACCCATTTCACTTTGGATCACCACAACTGACTTTTTCCTCACACCAAGCCTCATGCAAGTCCACCCATCATTCCTAGTTCTGCCCATTCCTCTTCCCCAAGATAGCCATTCAAAGAGGTGAACAAAGCTCTTTCTGCTACAAACATTTCCATGCTAAACATTCCCAGTTCCTTCAACTGTTGTCATAGACCATGAATTTCCTCTTTTTTCCTCTCTCTGTCTGGTTTTTTGTCTCTATCTCCCCGAGTGTCTCTGAGATCTCTCCATTTCTATCACTGGCCACTAATGTTTGTTTCTCTCATTGTCTCCTCTTCCCCTCCCCCTCTGCTTTGTCTCCCATCAAAATTTCCCTTTAGTGACATCAGGACCTAAATGGAGATGACAGGTGTGCGGGTGGGGTGGGGAGGGTGTCCTGGCATGAGGGAGGCAGGCAGATCAGCTCCAGGACAGTTCTCAGCCTGAAGCCATGCCCCCCATGACCCTGATCTATCTGGCTCCAGGCTGGCCTGGCCAGGTCCCTGGAATCCCTCATCTCCTCGGTAACTGATGCTCCACCATAACTTTGATGGGTCCTAAATAAAACTATTGACTGACAGAGCTGGAAAGGCCCTTAGAGATCACTGGCTATAACAGTAATACTCTGTAATATGAGGAGGCACCTGCCAAAGGCTCCCCAGGAAGGAAAAGGCAAAGCTGGGGCTGGAACCCAGGCCCTCCTCTGACTTCAGATCGGGGGCTCTGCCTCTGCCCCCCAACACCAGGATCACAGGGGCCTCCAAGGTCGCTCCTGCCTGCACAGCTACCATCGAGACTGACAGAGTGCAGTGTGACCTCCGCTCAAGCTTCAGCGGCTCCTGTGGCCACACGTGGCCTTTATGCCATCCACAGTTTGGTTGTCACTCCTCCCTTGAGCTCTAGGCTCTATCCAGGTTAGCCTTCATCCTAGTCCTCTACGCACAGACTTTCCCACCTCCAAGCTTTGCCAGCAATGCCCTCCCTCCTCAATGTTGCTTCTTGGGATCTTCCAGCTCTGTTCAATCTGTCCCAACCCACCCAGCCCATCCTTGGGTATTTATTTTAAGTACGTCTGGTATTTATTTAGAGGCCCTCCTGGATTCTAGAAGAATGTAGCCTCACTGAGGGCAGGAATAGCCTCACTTTGAGTTTGCTTTCCCGTTGCTTAGCTCAGGGTCTGGCACATAGCATGCTCTCCCCGCTTATTGTCTGATTGATCAAGACGCCAGACCCCCTCCCTTAAACAGAGAAAGAGCTCCAGACTGGGCAAGTTCCTTGTCAAAGATCTCGAAGTAATAGGAAACAGCAGAATCACCCAGCTGGAAGGATGGCCAGATCCCTGGGTACAGTCCTCTCATTTTATAGGTGGACAAACTGCAAAGGAATGGACTCCACCAAGGCCACAAGGCACCTCAGGACAAAGTTAAGACAATAAAATGTAGACCATCAGTTACAAGGGGCTTTGAGATCCTGGAGTTTCCCCATGTTTGTTTTACTGGTAAGGATATTGTGGCTCAGGGAGGGCTCTGACCTGCCTCGGGGCACACAGTGCTTTATGCCCAGACTCCACTAGGGGTTCCCAGGGTGGCATCCCCAGACAAACACTCAGTAACCCCTACTCAGAGAGAGCTTTATTCAAGTCTGGGCTTGGGCCCAGGTTTGTTGAAGGGGAGACCACTGCTTGACCCCATCAGCCTTCAAACTTCTTCTTCCGCCCTTCCATCCCGCTCAGGGCGTCAATGTTCTTTCTCCAGTCTCCTACTTCTCGGCTTTCCTGCAGGGAGGAGACCTGGGTCAGGAAGCTGCTTCCCAGGCCTTGCATCACCCACCTCCTGAGACCCTGGATTGATTCTTCCTCCCCACGCCCCCTGCCTTGGTTCATTTGTCCACTCTGCTTTGCCTAGGGCTCACTTCCAAGCACCTCAGTTTCTTCCCGGTTGATGGAACCCCGGCTCCCAGCTCCTATCTCCCATCTTTCCTTCAGGGCTCAGCTATATGGCTACATGAAGGGGCTCCTGGCTCCAGGGTAAGCCCCAGAGATCAGAGACTCTGTCGTTGTGCCCCGGGCCCTTAGCACAGTGCCTGGCCTGTAGTAAGTAGGTGGATGGTGAATGCTTGATGATTGAGTGAGTGAGGGAATGTCCCAGCACCAAGGACTTAGCCAGTCTCACCTTCTCTGTGTCATCCTTCTTCACCTGCTTGAGATGAGCCCTGAGGTCCAGGGACTCTTTGGCTCGGGCCCCCAGCAGGGCCTGCATCATGGCATCTGCTGAGATCCGCACCCTCC